TGGCTCTACCAGGTTAAGAAAAACGTTGTCTAGAAGCTGTCGAAGAAGACCTTTTTCGGTCTTTTATTTAGTTCTCCGTAACTGCAATTTCGGGCTTCGTGCGCGCTGTTGCGCTACCTTTTTTCCTATATCAATAATATCTCATTTTTTACTTAAATCTTGCCGTTTCTCTATTACGAGCCTAAAACCAAAATTTGACATGTTTTGACATCGTTGTTTATCTGGTTGTCATGGCAATTTTTATTCAAATTCGTTACCGGCCTGATGTTTTTACTTCAATACTTCCACAAAAATACTCTTTTCCTCTTGGCCATTTACAAAAATTTGCTTTTAATTTAAATAATTTCCCGTTCTTATCCCAGATCCGTCAAAAAGTATAAAAGCCGAACAATCGTCCAATAAAGGGGAGTCTCACTTCAGCTTTCATACTAGAAGCACCTCCTAAAGGCCTTATCCGCACTGCCCCGGGATCCTGCAAGCCTCTGCCTTCACCTGAAGTCGTCGCCTAGCCACGCCTACGCCTCCACCTACTAGTGCCCGCGCTATCTTTGGCCGCTGTGCGTGCTTGCCTCAAGCGCTGCGTGTGCCTACTCCGGGCGCTGCGTGTACCTACTCCGAGCGCTGTGTGTGCCTACTCCGGGCGCTGTGTTTGCCTACTTCAAGCGTTGCGTGTACCTGCTCCAGACGCTGCGTGTACCTGGTCCAGACGCTGCGTATACCTACTCCAGATGCTGCGTGTGCCTACTCCAGACGCTGCGTGTGCCTACTCCGGGCGCTGTGTGTGCCTACTTCAAGCGCTGCGTGTGCCTACTCCAGACGCTGCGTGTGCCTAGATCAGGCGCTGCGTACCTACCACAGGCATAGCCTGTGCATACTCCGTTTCAATACTCATTTATCTTTGTTATTTTTTTTTAAATTGTAATTCACGTCACCCATCATCATCTTCATATATTTTTTTTATAAAAAAAACTGTAAATGTCTTTTAAAATTCTAAAACAAAACTTCATCTAGTTTTTCAACTTATCTGGATTATATTTAGACCTACATTATAACACTTCACTTACATTCATCACTTTAATGTTTTTATTATAGATAACTTAATTAAATTTTTATTTCTTAAACTTAACTTTGCACTTAATTATAACAATGAAAAGGGTTATTAAGTACGAATTCCTTAACAAGGCCGAACTCGAATACGAAGTGAAGATTAGATGTGAGGAACCAGCTAATACTGTTTTGCATGACACTACATTTGAATATATGTTTGTATATTTGTATATATGTTTGTATATATGTATAAATATCACCATCATTTTCACATAATTTGTTTGTTTGGTGATCCAGTGTTCTTCAACACATCTTGCTTTAGGACCTCGAATTTTCGTTGGTTAATCTTCACTTTTTATTTTTATTTCAGACACATCTCGTTAGTGATGTTGCTGATCTCTGGCTTTGAGCCCTACCGCTCTGGCCGTTCTTAATCTTTACTTAAGTCATAGCGACTAAAGCTTGCTTAAGATTAATTTCTTTATCTTTATCTTCACTCAGGAGCGGATGACAACTCCTTAAATAAGCCTGAATGTCCTTTCGAAATGTTTTTTAGAGGGCGGATGAACTCCTTTAAGTGAATGTCCTTCGAAAACACACTTTTAGAGTGGTAGTCATTAAATGTGAACTCCACCCTTACCTGAATGCAGATGATGAATATAAGAGATAGTATATCTGATTTTGCCTGGTGATGTCTGTTACTGCAAAGCTGTGTTTTTATGGTTTATTTTAGAATGTACATGTCAAAAATTTTTGCTGAGTCAAAAATTTTCCAGGGTCGGAGGGAAAATGTAGTGTTATGCTACTTACATATCATTTTACACTATTTTCAATTTATTTTTCCATTCTGTTTTTGATTTTCTGCATTCACCTCAAAACTGGATATTTTGCATCACCTTTATTTCCATAGGATCCTGTAACGTTTTTAAACCATAAGAACACAATAACAAATCATTTTCACTTCGTATTTTCACGTTATCAGCACTTTTTAAATCGGTGTCAATGGAGTCTACCTTTTTCGGTCTTTTATTTAGTTCTCCGTAACTCTGCAATTTCGGGCTTCGTGCGCGCTGTTGCGCTACCTTTTTTCCTATATCAATAATATCTCATTTTTCACTTAAATCTTGCCGTTTCTCTATTAAGAGCCTAAAACCAAAAGGTCAATGGCGAACTCCCAAACAAATTTTATGTGACCCTTTTTTGCGTCTACAAATGCAAAATATGTAAAAATATAGAGTTTAAAATCCTGAACATTTTTTCCTCGGTCATACTACTGCAGGAAGTCAGAAATTAAAGATATTCCAGTTTAAACAAAATACAAATCGGACTAGGCTGTATAGTATAAATCGCCTTAATTGGCAAATCGTTATAACAACTAGTCAATATAATTTTCATATATGTTTATATAAGGTAATTATTAGAATAAAGGGAATCCTTAAAGAACGCATTGATTTATATATAGAAGTTTTCTGCATAACTTACACGTCAAATTCAGCTGTATGGTATAAGACCTTTGCCTGTCTTATCAGACGAATCGTAACAACTACAACAACTAGTCAATTAAGTTTTGAATTATGTATTATGATTTTTTCCCAGACTTCGAATGGCCATAAGCTTGATTAGATAATACATAGTAAATGATATCTGTAATGGTGACATAAGTAGACTCTTAATAATTCCATCAACAATTTGCCACAACAACTAGTCAATTTAGTTTTAAATTAGGTAAGATGATTTTTTTCCGACTTCGAATGATCATAAGCTTGATAAGTTAAAACAAAGAAAATTATTTTATTGATATCTATAATGGTGACTTAAGTAGATGCTTCATAATTCCATCACCTATTATTTCGCCATTGTCCTTTGACATGTTTTGACATCGTTGTTTATCTGGTTATCATGGTAATTTTTATTCAAATTCGTTACCGGCCTGATGTTTTTACTTCAATACTTCCACAAAAATACTCTTTTCCTCTTGGCCATTTACATAAATTTGCTTTTAATTTAAATAATTTCCCGTTCTTATCCCAGATCCGTCAAAAAGTATAAAAGCCGAACAATCGGCCAATAAAGCGCTGCGCCCTCCTTTCTGCCAAGGAGGATCGCGTTCGTATACGGCTTAGAGATCTCTAGTCAGATCGTTAAGCCAATTCCTAAAAGGCGGTGTTTAGTGGGTAAAAGTCTCCACATAACCACGTAACCGGCTGCGTGGTATGCTATGAGCATTCACCGCCTCCCTCCCCCGCTTTCCGGAGGGTTGCTCATATTTGCTACGAGCGCAAAAAAAAAAAACCAATAAAGGGGAGTCTCACTTCAGCTTTCATACTAGAAGCACCTCCTAAAGGCCTTATCCGCACTGCCCCGGGATCCTGCAAGCCTCCGCCTTCACCTGAAGTCGTCGCCTAGCCACGCCTACGCCTCCACCTACTAGTGCCCGCGCTATCTTTGGCCGCTGTGCGTGCTTGCCTCAAGCACTGCGTGTGCCTACTCCGGGCGCTGCGTGTGCCTACTCCGAGCGCTGTGTGTGCCTACTCCGGGCGCTGCGTGTGCCTACTCCGAGCGCTGTGTGTGCCTACTCCGGGCGCTGTGTTTGCCTACTTCAAGCGCTGCGTGTACCTGCTCCAGACGCTGCGTGTACCTGCTCCAGACGCTGCGTGTACCTTTTCCAGACTCTGCGTGTGCCTACTCCAGACGCTGCGTGTGCCTACTTCGGGTGCTGTGTGTGCCTACTTCAAGCGCTGCGTGTGCCTACTCCAGACGCTGCGTGTGCCTAGATCAGGCGATGCGCACCTACCACAGGCATAGCCTGTGCATACTCCGTTTCAGTACTCATTTATCTTTTTTTTTTTTTTTAAATTGTAATTCACGTCACCCATCATCATCTTCATATATTTTTTTTATAAAAAAAACTGTAAATATCTTTTCAAATTTTAAATAAATTATTTTTTTTCTGGTTGTTTCGTTGTTGTTAGGTTAGGTTCTTTAGTTTTTAACTGTCGCTTTACGACAATATATTTGTAAAAAGTATGTGAACTAAGAAAATGTCAATAAAGAATTATTATTATTATTATATTATTACATTTTCATAAATATATTGCTATGCCAAAGTTAATATATTTATTTCTTAAAGTTTTTCTCTAAGGGCTTCTTTACAATTTAAGATATAAATTGAACATACGTCTCTCTTTTATAAAACAAATATGGCTTCAATGTCAGTCGCATGGCTCCAATAGTAATACCAAGAAAAACAGTGGTATCCACAAGACTCAACTACTTCCCATTTAAGAGCACACTGATAATTGAATCCTCTCCAAAGGTTTGCTCCTCTTCCATAATTTCGAGAATTAGTATCAATTAATTGTTGCATCTTTTACTTAATATTAAAAAATACATTTTGGAGCAGCATTATTAATCTTTAAAATATGTACTTGATAACGTTATTATATTTTGGTAACATAACTATTTTTTTAAATGTGTGTAATAACTATACTTTTTTTAAAATACAAATAATTTACAAAAGTGACTTTCTTATGCCCACTATACCATTGTTTACATGTGTAAATCAATATATTTTTTCCTACAAAATGAGCATTTTATACGGAGTAGTCCACTTGCAAACCACTCTAAGTTAAAAAATGGTATTTTTTTGCAATGGCGGCCATTGTATTTGAAATTTAAAAACTGTTACTCTACATTTATCATACTATTTCAAAACTCGCTACATTACGAATAATTTGAGGCTAAAATATGGTATACCCTTGCAAAAGTCGCTATAATATTTGACAGTTCACTTTCAAAACTGTCTAAGTTTCTATTCACTTGCAAATGGCGCTAAGACGTTAACGTACTCGTGCAGATGCCGCCATCTTGTCTACCAGTTTGATGCTGTTAATGTGCACGCACGTGTCTACTATCTACGAAAAAAAAGTTCTTTATCAATTTTGTGTTCTAAAATGGAATTTCAAGAAAAAGAAGTTATTCTAACACCTAATAGAAGAGGACGTAAGAAAATATCCGATAAATCTACTGGGAAGAGAGAAGTTGAAAAATCAAAACGGTAAGTTACAGTTTTATATTTCGGTTATCTTTTAATAAATAAATAAATTTATCTTAGAAAATTTATTTATTTATTTTATTCAAGGTGTACTTAGATTTAAATTTCTGTAAATAACTAACACTAGGGTAAGTCTCTATATATTACTAACACGCTATGGATGTATTGTCCGAAATAAATGTATTTGAATTTGAATAGTTTGAAAACCATTATTGGCGAACTCTTAAATTTGTCTGATTTTATTGAACAAGTAGTTTACTTTTTACTGTTTTGTTGCAGATATGTGGCTAAAGGACCTCCAAAAATACCACAATGCGTACATAGAAATTTAAAACAGGGTAATAAATGTAACGAGTTGACGACTCAAGACTATAGTAAGTTTTACAGACATTTTTATGCATCTTCAAACAAAATTACTCAAGATACATTTTTATTAAAGTATTGCACAGCTCAAACTCCAAAAAAAGAAGGCAAAAAAAACTCAAACAATATATTATTTTATTCCAAAGTACGAATCAACTGTTGGCGGTAAACGGTCAATCAAATTGAAAAAAGTATGTCAAAAAGCAATGACCACACTTTTAGGAATATCTAAAGAATACAAAGAATTTGCAAAAGATATTTAACTATGTAGCGGCGCTGTCGTCGCGCCACTAGCACACCGAAACACACCGAAGCCTAAATCGCGCTATTAACATTCTGAATCATAGACAGTATATATAGAACTTCTCCGAAATATCACTCGGAGTGTCGGCCGCTCCCCGGGCAGAACACCTTGCCCGGCGGGAGATCTCCCCTTTACCTTCACGGCCACAGTGGTGACCCCGACGTGATTTTGGGGGCGGGTATCGAATCGAAGTTCAATCTTTTTTATTAATCCTAAATTTATTATAAAATGATAGTGTTTAGGATATTTAAGTTAGAGTGAATTTAATTATCAAAATAAGTAGAGATCCAATGATTGTATTTTGGAATAAGCTTTAGGCTTGTGTCAAAATGATCGGCGGCCTATTCGTTTACAACCACAAAGGCGAAGTATTAATTTCAAGGGTATATAGGGATGATATAGGACGAAATGCAGTGGATGCATTTAGGGTGAATGTCATCCATGCCAGGCAGCAAGTGCGTTCGCCCGTTACGAACATAGCACGCACCTCTTTCTTTCACATTAAGCGTGCCAACATCTGGCTGGCAGCAGTGACCAAGCAAAATGTAAATGCTGCTATGGTGTTTGAATTCCTGTTAAAGATCATTGATGTGATGCAATCATACTTTGGCAAGGTCTCCGAGGAAAACATTAAGAATAACTTTGTGCTCATATATGAGCTGCTAGATGAGATCTTAGACTTTGGTTATCCACAAAAATCTGACACAGGAGTACTGAAAACCTTCATCACACAACAGGGCATAAAGTCTGCTTCTAAGGAGGAACAGGCTCAGATCACATCACAGGTGACAGGGCAAATTGGTTGGCGAAGAGAAGAACCGGAGATTTGGTTTGCTCAGGTAGAAGGACAATTCGCGATTTCAGGTATAACTAATGATTCTACTAAATTCAATTATGTCATTGGTCAATTAGAACATCAGGTATCTAAGGAAATAAAAGACATTATTGTGAATCCTCCTGCCAGTGACAAATACGAAAAGCTTAACACAATTTCTCCGGCACCTGCAAAGTCTAGCGGGTCCTAGCGTTCCGGATGAATTCTTGAGGACAATTTGGACGAGTAGACTGCCAGCAAACATCCAGACAGTTCTGGCAGCACAACCGACCGCCTCGCTCGAGATATTAGCAGATTTAGCGGACAGAATCCAGGACATTGCTATATCTTTCCCTCAAGTAGCTACCACCAGTTACTGTGCACCTCCAACTCCTGGTTCCACGATGGATTTGATGGCCAAAGAAATTGCAGAGTTAAGAAAGCAAGTGGAAAACCTAACAACAAGCCTTCATCGGAGATCTCGCTCTCGCACGAAATATCATGAGCGTCGCAGACGTTCATCATCAACCCGATCAGCATCTTCCTATCGAAGGCATCCTAAATGTTGGTTCCATGCGAAATTCGGTGTCAACGCCAAAAGGTGTGTTCGCCCATGTGATTTCCAGGCGGAAAACATGAAGGGCAGTCGTTAATGGCGACTGATGATTGCCCAAGTTCTACTGGTCGTCTCTTTGTCACGGACCGAAGATCGAAAATGCAGTTCCTGGTCGACACGGGTAGTGACCTCTGTGTTTTCCCTCGTGCATGGCTTTCTGAGCGGCGTACGAAGACCACCTACCAACTCTGTGCAGCCAATGGGAGTGTCGGCCGCTCCCCAGGCAGAACACCTTGCCTGGCGGGAGATCTCCCCTTTTCCTACCACGGCCACAGTGGTGACTAACCGACGTGATCTGAACACGCAACCAAATAACCTTCGGAAACTTCAAGCTTCATCATCGTCATAGAATACCCCACCCATTCGCTCCCGAGCAGATATAAACTGCAGTCTTCATATCCTGCAAGCCATCTAGCTTCACAAGGTTCATCGCAGCACTGAAATAATAATGCTTCCTGTTCCTTCAAGCTACTCTCTGCGCCATACTGTTCGGCACGGCTCTGAGCCTTACTGCTCGCCTCTGCTTCACGGCACTCTCGCAGATTACTTGCCTTCTTCTCGACTCACAGCAGACTACAAGGCAATCTCCCGGCACTTGCACATTCGTCGACAACGAGACTTCACTATCGACCTCCGGTCTGAGCAGGGGGGTGATGTAGCGGCGCTGTCGTCGCGCCACTAGCACACCGAAACACACCGAAGCCTAAATCGCGCTATTAACATTCCGAATCATAGACAGTATATATAGAACTTCTCCGAAATATCACTCGGAGTGTCGGCCGCTCCCCGGGCAGAACACCTTGCCCGGCGGGAGATCTCCCCTTTTCCTTCACGGCCACAACTACTATGGAACTGCCGAAAGAAAGAAGAGGTGGTGATAGAAGATCTTCACAGTATTCAGGTTCGTACAGAATCTGGTTATAAAGGGTCTTAAATCCATAGAATCACACTATACGAGAGGAAGGTCTACTGTACAATACCTGAGCAGTGACCTTAATATAAAAAAAATACACAAACTTTATAACAATGAAGCACAAAATGTGCCGGTGAAATACGAATTTTTTCGGAAAATATTTACAAAATTTTTTAATTTAAGTTTTAAGACACCGGCTACTGACGCTTGCTCTAAGTGCATTCAATTAAAAGAGAATATCAAAAGTGAAAATGATCTAGCTAAAAAACAGATGTTGGTAAAGCAGCTTAGGATTCACAGGTTAAAGGCCAAAACTTTTTATACTATCCTCAAGACGCAAAATGACAATGACATTATTTCATCCTTTGATTGTCAAAAGAATCAGGTTCTACCAAAAGTGCCGCATCAAAGTGCCTACTTTAGCCGACAACTGTATGCATACAATCCAACAACTAAGGGCCATCTTGTAGCCCTCAAAATGATTCAAATACGTTTATATACACGTGGCTCGAAACCGAGGCTTTAAAAGAATCCAATCAGATTTCATCAGCATTATTTCACAGGCTGTTAAATACCACTTTTACAGTATTGAACATATAAAATTATTTTGTGATCGTTGTGGGGGCCAAAATAAAAATTTTGGGAATGTTGGCATATTGGTTTAATACAAAAGCTCCAAATCAAATTAAAAAAATAACTATTGTACTTCCGGTAGTTGGGCATTCCTATTTGCCACCCGACCGTATATTTGGAAATATCGAAAGAGAGATACGCCCTTTAGAGGTGATTGCGGAACCCGAGGTTTATTTTGATATTTTCAAAAGATATGGTAAAGTTATTAGACTTGGAAGTGACTTCCAGTTTTATGACTGGAAAACAAGCGTTACAAATGTGCTGAAATTACCAGGATCTTGGCATTTCAAATTTAATGCTTCTAAAAGATTTTTCCTGAGAAAGGATAAGAATAATAAAATTGGAATCTAAGGGGAACCTAATTATGTATCTGAAGTAATCAACTATGGGAATGTTTGTAAAAGATGAAAGTCTTATGAAAATATTAAACCTACTTTTAATGAATATTGGAGTTCCTGTAAAAACAGAAAAGTTAACTGACGTGAGAAAACTATTGATTAAACATTTCGGAGAAGACGGGATTACTATTGAAAATCTTTAATATTATAAGTTTTTACAAGAAGAAGAAAATGAAAGTAATTTAATAGAAACTGACACTGAAGGATCTCTAATGGAAGATGAAATAGATATAAGAGTGTAAAAAAACTAAGTTATTGAAATTATTAATAACTTAGTTTTAAGACATAAGTGAAAAACTGATTCAAAACTGTCTATGTTAATTCCATACAACTGCAAAAATGTTTATGTTACAAATACTTTTGCAGAACTTGCTATGTTCAATTTTAATATTCAAATTAAAGGATTAATGTTATACCGAGATTTTATTTTTTATAATAAAATAATTCTAAATAATACCACTTAAGCGTATACTAAAGTAACAATATTTTCTTAACTTACTTTGACAGATATGTTTTAATTAATTTTCTTAATTCTTTAGTCAATCAATATAACGCATTTTGCAAGTGGACTACTCTATGTATTATAACATACCATAGAATACTTTAATATACAATAGAATGGCACTTCCGTCGACTTAATTATGACCACACGTACAGGCAATTACAAAAATAATATAGGTATGTAATTGATGTAATAATTGTAATGATGATCTTTGTAAGACAACCCCACACCAAGCAAATACATCAAATTTGTACTTACTTACTTACTTATCTTCACGCACAATCCCTAACGGGGTAGCCAGAGAGAACAGATCGCCAAGTGTCACGATCCTTACATACCTCTTTCGCTTCTTTCAGGTTCATTAACTTCTTCATACATGCACGTCTAGGTATCCGAGTACTCTTGGCCCTCCCCTCTTCGAGCAATTTGCTCACATGGTCTTCGAAAGTTAGTCTCGGTCTACCTCGACACCTTTTAATATTTAGTTTCGCTCTATATATTTTCTTCACCATTCGGTCTTCACTCATTCGTTCAACGTGCCCAAACCATTGGAGTACGCCCCTATCAATTTTTGTGATAAGGTCATCTTTCAATCCTGCTATATTGCGAATCACTTCGTTTCGCTTTCGGTCGGCTATGCTAACGCCACACATTTTACGAAGAGATCGCATCTCCACTGCATTCAACTTGCTTTTATGCTTCTTCTGGCATACCCAGGTTTCGCTGCCATATAACAAAGTCGGTACCAACACTGCGTTATGTATTGCAAGGCGTGCACTCTTCACCACGTCTTGCCTTTTTTACTAATGCATTCAGGGCACCATTGACTTTGTTTCCGGCAGCGACACGCCTATCCACATCTAAATCACATCTTCCATCCCGGCTGAAAGCACTCCCCAAGTATACAATTTCATTTACCTGTTCTAGACATTCCTGATTTACCCATATTTCACATTTCGTTCTCTCTTCGTCCTTTTCAAATACCAGAACCTTAGTTTTATTAGCATTCAAACGGAGACCTTTAATTTCACATTCCTCTTTCATACACGTGACTAATGCCTGCAGTTCTGCTTCTGATGGTGCAATAAGCACTGCATCATCAGCATACAGCAGACAATTAACTTTTATGTCACCCAATTTCACACCCAAACAGCTATTTTTCAGCTTCTGTAAACAGCTGTCGAGATACAGTATGAACAGCCAGGAAGACATGACACAACCCTGTTTTACGCCCGCTTGGACGCTAAACATGGGTGACAAGTCATGCCCTACCCGCAAACAGGCTTTACAGTCATAGTAAAGTGACTGCACAGCCCTTAACAATCGACCATCCACACCACGGAGCAAATATAAAGAGGAGACGGCCTAAGCGACTGTGCACTGTGATTCTAACTAGGTCCTGACGTCATCACAGTGGGCGTGGCTTTAGTTAGTATACTGTCAGCGTTCGTCCTGTGGGCATCGGTGTCGAAAATTGCAAATCAGTGTATTTTCGTATTGTTAAGAAGAAAAGGATGAAGTGTTGTGTTTTATCGTGTAAAAACTACTCAGATAGACGCTCTGATGCTATGGATGGTATCACATTTCATGTGTAAGTAATTATATATCTAATTTCTTAAAATAATTCTAGAAAGATCTCTTTGCATCGGCTTTCAAATATAATTAAATATATTCGATACTAGATGGCAGCACTTTGTGTCGTGTGAACTAAAAATATAAAGGTAAGTCGAGCTCAGTATTGGTAAAACAATCATACGAAGGTGCTGAAATTGTTTTTTTTGAAGTTGGTTTCAGTCCTAAAGAATTTTTAATCGCCAAAATATTACCTTTATAGATTTTATAATCATTTTGAAAACAGGCCGCCATCTACCGTCAAGTAAAAGAACAATCAAAAATAAAATAAAAAGACAGGGCCGTAATTAGAATCCAATTATTTTATCCAGTACCCACGGCTTAAAATGAAGGAAATATTACTTAGGCTGATTTTTTACGAAAGGTCTACAATGTATATAAATACTTAAATATTTAGCATTTTGTAAAAGTCAACCTTCAAGAAATATTCATTTTATCCTTAGTAAAATAAACTCTTCTTGAAATTAAATATTTTATGTACAGTATTCGGTCTCCTTGAAACTTTTCTTAAGAAAGACAACTATTATAACAGTTGTAGTTCAGTTAGTTAAAAAGCTCATCTAGGTTATTTTATTTAATTTATATTCTAGATTTCCATCCGAAGATAATCTTAAACAGCAATGGATAGCAAAAATTAATAGAAAAGACTAGACTCCGACAAAATATACAAAGATTTGTTCGTGCCATTTCAATGATGACGACTTTACAGTTACAAAAAAAGGCTTTAAAAAATTAAAGCAGGGAACTTCACCCAGTATTAATCTGGATATATCGGTTCGTTTGGATGCACTTTGTATTTTACTAGTTTTCTTATTTTGGTAGAAGGAGTTAATTTCATATTGTTGTTTTATACTTTATATTATAGATTAAAAGAAAATTACCAGAGCCCTCAATATCACCACCTAGGCCTACCACTAGTGATTTAAATGAATATTTAATATTTCACGATTCCCCTAGAAAGAAGAAGCTAAAGCGAGAGATAGAACAACTTCGATGGAAATCGAAAAAAGATGGGCTAAAGATCAGAAGACTTCAAATGGAAGTTAAACGTTTGAAAAAGAAGGTGCTTATATAGTGACACTACTTTCGCTTCACATACAACTTTAAGATGTTTTTTTTTCTAAATGTAATACGCTTTAAGTACGTTTCGCTTTTGTTTTAGGTTCAAAATTTAACTGCCTTAATTACAGAATTGGAAACCAAACATCTTTTACAGGGAGAGGATTCCGAAATTTTATCTTCAATAAATATAAAGTTGAAAGACTTGGTTGGGCGTCAGTTATCAAAAATTACTAAAGTTCCTTTGAAAAAGAAATATTCTCCAGCCCTTAGATCATTCACTTTAACGCTTCATTATTTTTCGCCAAATGCGTACTCATACGTCAGGAAAACTTTCGATACATGCTTACCGCATCCGAGAACCATTTCTAAATGGTATGAAAGTGTCAATGGTGAAGCTGGATTTACAGCTGAGGCTTTTAATGTATTAAAGCACAAAACCAACTCACCACGTAAACGTGCATTGTGTAGTCTTATTATGGATGAGATGGCTGTTAGGAAGCATGTTGAATGGGATGGAAATAAATATCATGGTTATGTTGATCTCGGGCTTAATGACGTACAAAAGGATAACTCGGATCAGGCGTCTCAAGCCTTAGTTTTGTTACTTGTATCTCAAACAGAACGGTGGAAATTACCTGTGGGTTATTTTCTGATTCGTTCTATGACCGGAGAACAACGGGCCTCAATAGTTCAACAATGCCTCTACAAATGCCAAGAAAATGGTGTAGACGTTGTTTCACTTACGTTAGATGGTTGCGCTGCAAATATTGCTATGCTTAAAAAGTTAGGATGTTCGTTAGATCCTCAGAAAATAAAATCAACTTTTAAACACCCTAGTGCTGACTACGAAGTAGCAGTATTCCTCGACGCCTGCCACATGCTAAAACTAGTGCGTAATGCCTTTGAAAATAAAAATAAGTTTCTTGATTATCAGGGCAATTATATCGAATGGTCTTATCTCGTCAAACTTAATAACCTACAAAAGTCTGAAGGCCTCCATCTCGGGAACAAGTTAAGAAACAAGCATATACATTTTCAGCAACAAAAAATGAAAGTAAAATTAGCCAGTCAGCTTTTTAGTAATAGCGTAGCCGACGCACTCCAAGTTTGTGAAAAAAGTAATATTGAATTCATAAATGTGGCGGCTACAATTAGTTTTATCCGTCTAATTAACAATATCTTTGACATTCTTAACTCCAGAAACATGTGTCAGTATAAATTCAAAAAGCCCTTATTTGAAAAAAATATTTCTAAAACAAAAGATTGTTTGGAATATACTAAATATTACTTAATTTTTCTAGTAGCTCCTGACGAAGATAAGCCTGTTATCGCTACAAATCGAAAAACAGGCTTTATAGGTCTTTTAACATGTATCAATAGCACACTTTTCTTGTATGACCGCCTGATTGAAAAAGAAAACATACTAAAATATCTAACTCTATACAAATTTTCGCAAGATCATTTAGAACTATTTTTTGGGATAATAAGGGCACATGGGAGGACAAATAATAATCCAACCTCACGTCAGTTTAAAGCAGCTTACAAAAAACCCTGATAAATGCAGAACTGAAAGAAGGTTTCAGAGGAAATTGTATTCCTTTAGAGGATATTTCTATTTTGATGAAAATCAGTAAAACAGTAAAATACTGGTTTGAGGTAAAAAGGGACTTTGCGAAAGATAATATAGAAAAGTTCTTGGAATGTATACAATCAATATCTTTTTCTGAAATCTATACTGAACAAGACACCAACAAAGC